ATTAAAAGAAAAAAAGGTTACATGACTTGTCCTCCATATCTGTTTCATGAACTTTGGAAATGGGACATGTGTGTGATGCCCATGCTGTGGCACATGGCATTGTCGACATGTAAGCTGCTACATGTACATGTATTGCTGTAACTGTCGGCCGTTGCCCGTTGATTTCAGGTTTGGTCCTCGTCGTCTGGCACCGCTCAAGATCTCGTCGAGGAGACGCTGCGGAAAATCAAGGAGGAGGAGAAGTCGTGCAACAAGGTCAGTGTGCATAAGTGGGCATACACCGTGAGGAGCAAGAGTTGATTATTAACGAATAAAAATACATAATATTTCACGGCTCTCGCGAGACTCAGTCAGACTGTGTTTTCCGCATCAGCAGGAACGCTACCACCCGCTGCAAGGATCTAGGTGCGGACGCAGCTCCTAGCCCACGGTGTGAGGAGGTGAGTAGGACTCGGAGCTGACCAACCATGAAGTGCTCGAAAGTCCCATTCGCTTTGGGTGTGGGTTGTGGCATGGTTTGAAATGTCTGTCCCTTCCAAGCAGGACTCTGGAGTGATAACCTTTATAGCCTTTCCTGGCCCTGAACTGCACACCTTAAATGGTTGGTCAACCGCCCTCAGCCAATCAGAGCTGAGCAAGTGTTTGGTCACATAACGTATGCAAGTAATCAAGAAAAGGAAGGTGGGGAATATAATTCCTTGGTACCATCTGTTTTGCACTCAGGGTCTTAGACCACGCTGCCACTATCTCGGCCTGCCGGCTTATCAATGAATACGTTGGTAGAAAACTCTTTGTGAGGGTTTGCCTGACATAGCCCGCAGCACATTTGATGTGGATGTTTTCTCCCATACTATATCCAAGTAGGAATACAAAACTGTATAAGATCGAAATACATCCGGAGATTGAGTGCAGTGTTCCATTATGCAATCACCCATTGACTAATGACTACTTGTGTTGAGTGTGGTGGAGGCTGCTCCAGTGATACAGACCCGTGTCATGTAAAAATAATGTAAGATGACTATTTGCATAGAGTGGCTCGGGGATAAAGGAAAACGTGAATCCGCAGCTTGGCTCCAATGCATGCGGCCCCCAGCATCCCGTTACACATGGCAGGAAAGGACAGTGATAATCTCACAGATAGGATAGCGATAGTGATAGGGTCAGAGCGAGTCAAGGCGACTGCAGCTACCAATATAGAATCTCTGCTTGGCTTGACACCTGTGGATTTGGCATTGTGTTATCACCGAACACTCATGATGCTACATAGAGTGTTCATTGTTATCAATTGCTTACTGCACGTACACAAAAATTAGAAGCGTATAGCATGTTTTGGATCTGCTGGCCAAAGAGTCCTATAAGGAGAGTAATGTAATACAGAGATGCCCGGTGTCCCAACCAGTCTGCTCCCCAGGTTGGAACCTGATGTTTGCCACTGCAAGCATGTGCACGTGGAGCATAGTTGACCGTGATGTACTTAAAATAACTCGACATAAACAGCACTTTACTATGCTAAGAACATCACCATACATGATCACGGTCTTGTGTAGAGTTCACTGCACATGTCATGTATGGAGTGTCAATGCTATGCTTGTGACGCAACTCTATTTGACACCGGTACACCGACTAGTGGTATTATCACACACATCTCATCCTTAAGTACCAGATTGCTGGCTTATTTTCCAGCCGGAGAGCACCCCCAACACCAGTGTTTACACATGAGAAACGTCAAAATATTACATTACTTCAACTACCTTGACTGGTAAAAACAAAGACCACGGTGGCAGGTTTGATGGAGTTGCGCAGAACAAGAGCAACTGCTTCGGAAAAAATAAAATATTTGTTAGTAAAAAGTACACTTGCAGTGGTGTGTTCACACCCTCCATCTGTATAACATGCAGATGTGAGGGGGTGACCATGCCACTGTATTAGTTGAACCATTTCATGTTAGTACATGACGTATTGTACACTGTATTACACGATACAATTTGCTTACCTTAAGGAGACCGCTCAAGGGACCTTACACATGTGGCCTCCGTGTACAGGGGATCCTCTTATCAATCATTTGATTGGAAGTACCATTCATTGCCATTTGCGGCCCTGGTTGTAGTGGTCCTCTAGAACAGGTGGTTGCCTTGTAAGAGTGCCGAGTGGTCTCCTTGACAGGTTTTGACTGCCTCTCAGTTCAACTGTTACTCGAGCTACTGACAGACCCGTAATGTTACCATGGTTGCATCGTGTTGAGGTTTCTGACCTCAGTGATGTGCTCAGCCATAAATGGACGTGGCTGGGCTTACCCCAGCCTCATCATGTAGCTCCAGTCCAGGTGAAGAAGAATATGGCAGATTCTGCCACATCTTACAAGTAGTGGACTCTGTAGTCTAGAGGATTACTGCAGACGTGACTTTCTCTCTCCTTCTACGCCTGCGATGGCATGATTCTCTGAGCGTATCTGGTAAACATCTCACATCTCACGTGTCGCACGTGAGAAATGACCTCAAGACTAGACTCCCGGATCCCCACTCTTACGAAGTAATAGTTAGGTCTTACACGTGACAGCTCGGCCACCTGTCATACTCATTCAGGCCTCAGGATGTTCCAGAAACATTTGACCACACAGGCACACACACATACACACGTACACAACTCCTGTTAGATAAATCAATAAGGTCAATTTAGATTTTCTACCCTTTTGTTTGCTTTCTGTGCACGTATTTGAACTAATAATGATTCGCAGACCAAACATACAGAACTTCAGTGATAAGGGACCGAATTATGCCTAAATGACTGTATTGGCAAGAAGACGCATGAGATACACTGTCTGGCTAAAAAAAACCAGAATTTTCGAAGGCCCTGCGGTATCGGTTTGTGCACTGTGTGGTGCAGACGCAAAGACTTCATCGATCCGGGCCAAACTCCGCGGTGGGAAAACCAATTTGTCCATGCACGGCGAAGCAGCTTAGCATCCACAGAGTGTGGATACTTCTGCCGTGCAGTAATACCAGCTTACCAGCCCAGGTGATTTTTCCGCCCAGCCGCGTGTCCGAATCTGCCTAGAGCGTGCTGGAGTTTTGTTGTTGTTGTGATTTTACATGATTGTATCTGCGCGTTGGCGTCATACACAAGTACCACTGGTAGATCTACTACTACTACTAATAATTATATTACTGTAGTACATGATCTGTATTCTTGGGTGGCCGTGGATCTAGTTGTTGTTGAAGTAATTCAGTTGACACCTGGCTTCTCGCCATCCGCGTAGATCTGCTTGTCTTCTCGCTCTCCAGACGGGGCTCCACCTGGCACGGTGTAGTCCGACGTGGAACTCTTCCTAGCATGACTTTACGGAGCTAGCCCCAGGCAAGGTTGGTCTTTCCCGGCCACCTGCTGCCTGACCCCGCGCAATGGTAAAACGGAGCTGCCGCCGGTCACTTCGTCTCACTGTCAGCCGTCACAACTCACCGCAACTCACCATACGTGACACTCTGCCTGTCACCAGACCTGGCTCTCTCTCTTCTGTTGTTGGCAGTTCCGTGTTTTGGTTGCCGTACGAAACTGCAGTGTAGGCTTTCACAACCGACACAGAGTTCTCTAGTTCATGAGGAGTGTAGTGAGGTTCTGATGCCTGCATTGCGCACGGGGATTGCTAGTTTTGCTTGCTGCAGCCAGGCGCACGACTATAATTTTTCTAGTACCCAGGCCAGGACATGTACTAGTAGATAGCTGGTCATAACGATAAGTTCCTAGCCGCTAACAGATCCGTAGAGCATTCGTATTATGTTTCCTTCTCCGTCATTTTACTCAACAGGTCTGAGGAGGTGAGTTACTTCGCCCCGCTGCATGGGAGATGTGCTGAGTAAAGTAGTCGATCCTGTAGCTCTTGGAACCCTGTTTGAATGAAGGCCATTGTCTTTGTATGGGATACTTCGTGAGGGAACTGATAGGTGCGGAGGTATTGAAACTTAGTCCTGCACAATCATATCGACTTGAAGTAAACAAGAAGGTTTACTGTCGGATGTGTTTTCGGCAGACCCTGCAGTGAAGTCTGCATGGTCTGAGCGTGAACAGGTGGAATGGTTCAGTCGGTTTACAGTTCTTTCGCGGCGCCAGACAGATGATATACGTGTGTCTACCCCTGCATATGTCATGACACTATAATGTATGTGTATGCAAGTAAACCAGGGAAGGCAGTAATAAAGGTGTTTTGCTACTCCCTGTCCCTGAAGGCTGACGTAAAAGACATCATTCCAGTCTTGACATGCTGTAGTGCGGGGGGACTTAAAGGCTGTAACTTAGTGTAAGAACTAAGAAGCCTGTGAGATTCACCCCAGTCAGAGCGGAGACCCCAGCAGTTGTTTACATAATAGTCGTTTACATTATGTAAACAACTGCTGGAGTCTCCGCTCCGCTCTGACTGGAGTGAATCTCACAGGCTTCTTAGTTCTTACAGCCTTGTATTATAGCTATTATACTATCACACACGGACTGAGAAGTTAGATTGACCAACCTACTTCGTCTATCATGCACGGGAGCAATATAACGAGTGATGTGAAGTCTTGGGTGTGATGCGAAGCGTTGGCCCCAGATAGCTAGCCACCTTGTTGGACAACTGGTTTAGCATGATCTCCATAACAATGTGAATATGTTAGGTGATCTCTGAGACAGGTACAAAGCCAGGCGTGGCACATTACAGCCTTTACAGGATTCTTAGCTCACCAAGAGGGCAGATAATGTCATGGTCCATGTCTGATTCGCGTGATCTGTCCTTGCACAGTCATGGCAAGATCTTCTCCTTTTAAGTAACAGATCGATCCAGCCAATCGCGGAGCTTGATGACAAAGACTTTGGAATAGTACATGCATATCACGGTCCATGTCTTGAGTCACGTGATCTTTCAGGGCACAGTCATGGCAAGATCTTCTCCTTTTAAGGAACAGATCGATCCAGCCAATCGCCGAGCTTGATGACAAAGACCTTGGAATACTACATACATGTCACGGTCCATGTCTTGAGTCACGTGAACTTTCAGGGCACAGCCATGGCAAGAAGTTCTCCTTTTAAGGAACAGACCGATCCGACCAATCGTGGAGCTTGACAGAACTTCGGAATAAGTCACGTTGTGTTTACGAGTTCTTGTGTTTGCCTGCATCGCGTGGAGCCGCAGTGAGTTGAGCTGTTTACGGCTCTCACTCTCAGCAGGAGCCATGGTGTTCCTATCACGTGCAGACTGTTACTATCTGCAACTGAACTGTCTTGTCAAAAGTAGCAGCAGCTGTCGTACATCATGCACACCGTTAAAGACATCAGGGCATCAGCCTGTCACTGTCAAAGGTTCCCAACTGTAGTCTACTGCTGTGTAGGTCTCGCACTCTCTCTTCTTGACACTGCTCAAAGCCTCAATGCTCCACAAAAGTAAGAGATTTTGGACGCAGATCGGTTCAGTGGATAGCAGGGAGTCTTATCCGAATCTGTAGAGTAGGGTACAACTCCCTGGTGGATCTCAATGAAGCGAAGAAAGTCCATGATTGTACAATAAACGTGGGCACGTCATTTGGCTTCCCCATCAGAGAAGAAAGGCACATTGAAACTGCCTTAGCCTGAAGGGATAGTACACTAACTACACGTCACGTGATATCGCATCACATGGCACATGTAGTATGTACATGGTTGTTATGATACTAGGAACCCTAACAACTTCAGCACAGTTTTAGAATCTCTCTCTCTCTCACACACACACACACTCTCTCTCTCTCTCTCTCACACACACACACACACACTCTCTCTCTCTCTCTCTCTCTCTCTCTCTCTCTCTCTCTCTCTCTCTCTCTTTCTCTCACACACTCTCTCTCTCTCGATGTTTAAAACATACTTCAACAAGAACAACAGTATAACCACAGTCGTGTGCACTGTCATATCGAGCTCCGTTATCCGAAGTATGACTCTTGTCCAACTAGACTTTCAGTGCCTAAGGCTGTACTGTATACATGTACATACTTCGAAGTACATCGTTGGGGGGGGGGGGGGGGGGAGTGCAGACATGAGGACGTTGCTATACAGGGGTGCGTGCGAACCCGCCTCTCAGCACCGTAGTTCGCTCAACTCGACTCTATTGACTGACAATAGCCCATACATTGGTCTGGTAAGGTGTGCTATGGAGATTTTTTGCAGTCCGATATGCACTGGAATGGACCCGTTGAACTGGATACCGGAGTTGTGTAGCGAATCTGTGCGCCATGCTAGTATGTTTGTTAAAACGTTCCAGAAGAACTACACAGACCTGACATTGTGTAGTGTACTGGACTCCACATGGAGCAGGAGGCTGTGGGAGTTCGGGAAAATTCGCGTGATACTCGGTTAGTCAGTTTATCGCATGATGCTATCCGTAGGAATACCATCACCCTCGAGCATTAAGGCGCAGATGCGGCTTCTTTAAGCGGTGAAAGGTAACTGCAGTAGATCAGAGCCACCACCAAATAATTAATTGGTCAAATACCGAAGATCCCATTCCCTACATCCAAGTTTGCCTCGCTCGGAAAGAATACTTCCCCTTCCTAGCAGGACGCGAACCTGTTCGCCTCTGTTTCTCGAACATGGTCTTAGACCATCCCATTATGCCTGCCTGCTGAGTTACATATTGAAATGGTAATATTGCCTCCTATGGCTATGCCTCCCTTGCTGTGCGGTGATCATTTATTCTTCCAACTGGCACTGCGTGGCTGTTTATCCAACTGGATCGATGAGAGTGACATTGTCTCGTGTTGCATGCGGCGGCAAGTGCTTGTAAGGTCTTGCTGCCGATCCATGTGCTAAGTAGAACACAGCGACAGGACTCATCGTGGTAGTGCACATGTTCTGTACTGTATGCGTTGCGAACCGTTCTGCATTGCATACATCTAGCGTACATGGTTAGGTTTGCTTCAAGAACCACAACGTTACATGAGACTGAGTTTCCCCGCATCCGCATGAACATTCTGCCTTGCTTAATTAGCGTACATGGTAAGGTTTGCTTCAAGACCCGCATGAGGCTGAGATTCCCCGCATCCTCATGGGCACCACCACTGGCGAGGATCAAGGCGCCATGGTTACAAACGTCATGATTCGCATTGTCTGCTCTTCGCCAATGCTGACGTAGCTGATCTCTTTCCTCGTGATCCGCGTGCCTACATGTTTCCGGGAGCCTATTCAGTTTAGAGCGTTTCCAATGTTATGCAATTTGACAGGGAGGATAGGATGTATGGATTGTAGGCGGTCGGTGTCACCCACAGGGCATGATCCCATGTGTTCGCAAGACGGTTACAGAGTCGAGTAAGCTCGGATGCAAGGTCCGCTCCATTCATTTCAGAACGGTGTAATAGTCCCGACAGACATGCCTCATTACGCTGTCACTTTCTATTGAACTAACTGCCTTTGTAGAATACGATAAAAACTTTGTAACAGTGGAACTCATGATAGACGTTCCCTCATGGGAACTGGACAGTGTACTTGGTATCCGATGTATTGTATTTCCTATTCAACCATGAACCATTGTATCTACTCCTGGCGCTACTATAAGTTCATTCACCCAAGTTTCAGCCTCAGCGTTGTAGGTACATCTACAGGTTTAAAGTGAGGAGGCCATGCGAATGACGTCAACACACATGCCTGATAATTATCGAGGACTCAAAAAGGGGCAAAGTCTATGCAACTCGACTACGCAACTCCCAGTTGGAAACCCAGTGTTGGTTGGCAGTGCCACTCCGTAAACAACATCTCACACAACGGCATGATCGCATAACCTCTTTGGTAAAGCCGCTGTGCACCCGCTGTCTTGTCTCTTGACTCTTGTGCTGGGCAACAAACAAGATGGTGAGCCCCTGTGCTGGTGATGCCTTGTAAGGAAGGGACGGACCTGGAGCGTGGGCTGTGAGAAACGGAGCCAGAGGTCTCGTTCTCACACACAAGCCGCAAGAGATCTGCGATAATGTCGGTCCAGAACATTGGAGAACAACCCTGGAACAGTACAGTATTCATCATCATTTCATGACGCTGTCCTGGTCTTGGCCTTTTGGGAACCATGTGGTCCGTAGATCTACCGCGGCCGGGAATCATGGCCTTTTGACGTGACGAGTGCAAACGTCAGGTGATAATAAGGTCACACTGGCGCGCAGCACTGTACTAATGCGCGCCGGGGCAGACACAGTGCACCTGGAAAGGTTGGTGCGGGTAGCTCCTACCATCCAACTAGGCACACTTTGCTGCCAATGCTGGTACTCTTGCTACAGTGCTAGGCTCTGCTAACGCTGCTCCTATCATAATGGCATGTGACTGTGTGAGTAGATCTACGGCTTTGCTGTTATAAAAATGCCCATGGCTGGCCATGCAAGAGTCTCGTGACTTCCGTGGCCTTGCGCAAGAATCATGAGAACTGGGTGCACTTGCAGCATCCTTTCCAAAGGCAACAGCGTCCCAGTCCCATGACCCAAAGTGCATATGAAGGCGTTGGAATCGGGACGGCAGCATGATCATTTTAGGCTCACCGACAGTGTGTCTTTCCTTTTAGGCGAGGAGTTGGCCTCTAGCTCTCGCGCTGCCTGACACTCCGGTGACAACCAGTCAGCACCTAGTACCTGTGGCGGTTGTCTGCGGAGAAGTGACGTCGTTCTCGGTTAGCTCACTAGCCTTGAAAATCCAAGTCACCGATCTGTTGACGTCTCTCAAGCCAAGACGGGCCTGAGACGCATTCAAGCCCGCCAGGCATTGTCACTGCAATAGTGCAAGTGCAAAACATAGCAGCCGGTGACATTCCAGCCGCTCACCATGGCATGGGTAAATCAGCTCCGTGTTGCCGAAGCACAGGCACAGTCTAGTCACGAACGATTGAATGGGGCGACGCTTGCACGTGACGGTTAGGATGCTGGCGATGTTCGGAAGTTCGGAGATCGCTGTGTCTGCCACCAATCGTGTTCTTCACTTCATGTGACCGTCCTGTGCATTACTCCCCAGGTTTTCTGGAATATGGTCCCAGTGTTGGCTACCGATCGTCTACTCAGCCTGCAACAAATAGCTTCTCCGTGCTGCTGTCCACTTGCAAGATCTCCCTCGGAGCAGCGCTGGGATAATCTGTTTGGAGCACTCCCTGCGACTCGACCCGAGGCGGTATTCGAGTAGCTTTCTAGAATCAGGTCGCACCTTACATTTCGTGGTGCATTTTGCTAGGTCACAACATTTATTGTCGCTGCTTCAAACGGTATAAAGTCCTCGCGTGGTCATGATTCTCTCAGAGACGCTGCAGTTCCAGACGAAACACTGCGCTCGAACATCGACGAAAGAAGCGAATTTGAGAATGCTGGTGAACAGGTTGACTTTCCCGGCCAAATGGGAGGCTTCGTTGTTCTTGTGGCGTTCGCGGAAGCCAGGGCTGGTGAGTTCTGATTATTTCGTTGACATTTCCCTGATCCATGTTCAGTGGAGAGGATGGCAAAAATAATTGGAGCACGCGTTGATGTTGAATCCTCAACGTGAACTTTTCCTTCTCTGTTCCTCAAGTGCCTTGAAATTTAAAAATGTCTACATGAATCAGTAAAGATTATGGACTGTGGTGCACGTGACTCTGCAATCGTGATTGTATAGTACTGCAGTACTGGTCTGCGCATGAGCGTGTAAACTTTGAACCCGAGTCCTTCGCGGGCTGCACCTGAAATACACAACGATGCGTGAATGCCGGAGTACCGCCGGCTATGTAGGGTTGTCTGTAGATGTACGCTGCTAGCGCTTGCTACTGCACTGCGTGAGATGCTAGTGTCGTCTTTGAGACGATGGTGCCGTCTTCTCTTGCAGTTGCACTGCATTGGGGGCGCATGGTCGCCTTTCTTGCGAGTAGGCTAAGGACGTCGTTGGCCCTGGTCGCATCTTGTGCAAAGACAAGAGAGGCAGCAGGACCTAGTGCCTAGTCTATAGATCTAGTACCTAGTAGATCTACCTGCGCACTGAAAAAAACGATGGGTCCGAATCGGAAGAGTCGATTGTGACTTGACTGACAGTGCTTCGTTTCTCTTGCTCCACATTACAAATCTTGCTGATACGCAGCTTACATCCGATGAGCGAAGTTCGGCATCCGCGTCCTCATCACAACCGAAAACTTCGACCGCTACGACGCTCTCAGCTCCGCTCATCGCACGGCAGGTAAGCTGGTTCACACCAAGCTAGGACTAGGTATTCTACTACTCCCTGTTTCACACTGTAGATCTACTACCAGACGCACACAAATAATTCAATGCAGGTCTGTACTGGATCCATCTATGCACTCACACATCCAGGTCGATTGACCGCCACGCACATTCTTCTGAAGTTTCTCGCGATAAACTGCAGTTTTTGAATAGCAGTGGAGAACATTATTTTGCACTTTATACTACAATGCAATGCCGGACAAATTAGTCCCTGTACGGTACTCTGATATAATTACGGTGATGTTATCATAGAGCAAAAGCACGTGTATTCAGATGTACAGTGTTAATTTTCTAGAAGTATCCGTATCTCAATGATGTGCTCCTGTGTGATTGCGTTCTCCTCGTATCTGCAGACGAGTCACCCGAATCAGGATGAGCATCGCCGTTGGCTTTCACAACGCCGTGCGCAGCTCGAAGCCGTCCTCGGAGTGCTACGAAGTGCACCGCAGCGACTGCAGCAGGCGCTGAATCATAACGACCTGGAAACTGCAAGGTGAGTTTTGTCTTTCTCAAAGGGTCATGATTACATCATCATTGCAACCGATTATCACTGGCAATTGCCCTTTGAAAGGTTTATGATGACATCTACTGAAATTCCAACATCAAAAAGTGAAAGAAAATACGTGGGGAAATATAATCTGTTGTTCGCACTTAAAAAAATACAAGACCGTTCGCATGCGACTTAGGTCCGTGTTAGATTTTTGCCAGTCCAATGATTTGCTTTTAGCGCACTAAGCATGAAATGATAAGAATCCAAGTGTCTTTGTCCATCTTCCCGGTGTCATAGCCTCCTGTGTGCTTGTTGTGGCATGTGTGTGACCTCTGCGGCATAGATCTTTACTCGAGGATGGTGTGGTGACGGCACAGTGCGTATTCGACGAGCCTGTCGGGGGATCTGCTCTGTATCATGCTTGCTCTCAGGTATGTTGGAAGTCTCTCTGTTACACAGTTCTCATTAGAACCGCGTTCTCATGAGTCACAACTCAAGACAGTTCGATAAAAGACTGTATATTTCTTCTGACTTGGAAACAATCCAATGGTGGGAAAAAGCAACCTACTTGTCGCTACTAAAATCAAACAAGAACTCAGCAAAGGCAACACGAAATACAGCATGTATCAGAAAGCAGGAGCATGCGCACTGCATGTTGAGATTTTCGCGATGCATAATTAACTAGGTCGAAAGCACATGTAGCTAGCTGCATCACTGCGCACGTGCCAGCGGCCTAAAGATGAAAGAATGCATTGTGTAATGCAAGACAGAACTGCCGGGCACCTCGCAGTACTAATGAACCACCAAAAACACAATACAACCAAACACTCTCTGCCTCTATTATATGCCGATGTTTACAATTCAAGCTAATTGTCATCTTGTGCTCATCATCATCATCAGCTGTCTCCATTTTGCCCAGAAATTCGTTTTGCCGTATTGATATTCTGAGCCGTTCTGGTCTTAGGGACATTGCATAATTATTATAATTATTAGAAATGCACCGTGCTAAGTTAAGAGGGGCGTTTCTTGCTCTTCTGTTTTCTTCCTACGGGTGTATTTGCTGTGCAGGGTCGCAAGGAGTTTGCGGAAATGCTGTTGGACCATGGAGCAAGTGTGAGTCTGAAGACGTTATGCACCCCGCATTGTCTGATTTCAACAGGTTATTACCATGATGCTCTACTAGATTGTCATGCAACATTGTTTTGTTGTACAATGAGCAGCTACGTTGGCAATGATAGTAAGAAATCTAGTGAGCACTCACCTTAAGACGAGGAGCAAACTGAATTTAGAAGGCATGGTTTTCGGAGTCATGTGTTTGAGTGTCGGTTTTCACAAGTGATCGGACGCCTTTCTTATCATTTTGCATGCATGTGTTTCGTACAATCTTTCTGTACTTACAGCTGACGGCTGCGGGTGAGGATGGCCTGATGCCTGCACACATAGCAGCCACTCAAGGCCATGTTGAAACGCTGCAGCTGCTTCTCGACAGAGGCCAGAGCATGGACGCCAGAGTAAGTTGGGACTACACAGACTTTCCAGATATGCAAAGCTGCAGCAGCATGCACGTATACAAGTATATGTACGTGCACATAGTTGGACTTATCAGTGAATCATTCACAATACTGGCGGAGGAGACATTCCGAATTTGTGTCTGGAGTGTGCACATTTGAATATTATACATGTGCATTGTATTCACTTGTTCTGCATGGACAGTCCTTCGGAATTCAGGCAGCATGCAAGCGAATGATCATTTGCACGAAGCCACATTATACATGTACATGACTGTATTTTATAATAATTATTATGTTATGTTGTTGACGTGTGTCAACAGGAATCCACGGATGGCAACACGTTACTGCACGTGGCCGCCATCTGCAACCGTTCTGCCGTCGTCCAACTACTCTTGGACAGAGGAGCAGACCGCACGTGTATAAACAACGAGGAGAAGACGCCGTTCGATGTCGCCAAGCAGGTCAACGTTCTGAGGTGAGTCCGGCTCGCTTCCATGTGACAATCTACTACTGCATGTGAACGGCAAACAAACTCTCAAGGACATGAGCAGGATTGATCTGGTTTTCCTCTTGCGGATGGTCGTGCGCTGCATGTTATTCACATTGTGCATCCAAGCTTAACATCCACCTGTATGTTTAATATTTGCTTTACTTCTTCTCTCCGCACATGTAGACTACTCGCCACCGGTACACAGCGCCTAGCAGTGGAGGCACGGGTCGGCTCTGTTGCCCGCGTCCGCAGTCTGCTCGAAAGCGAGGAGGACGGCGTGTCCCAGGAAGACCTGCTGAGGCTGTGCGGTGACGAGACGCCTGGTGCCAATCCGCTGCACGAGGCTGTCCGACAGAATCACCTGCCCGTGCTGGAGGTGCTAATCGATGCTGGCTGCAATATCAATGCCACGGTAGGATTGCAGTGCTGCCTCCCAGTTCCTATTCTTGATGAGTATCAGACAATGTTGGGATTGGAAATTGCGGGGAAAGTAAATCAAGCAACCTCCACATGCTGTTTGTTTGTGAAATGGGCATCCCCAAATTTTGGAAAATTGCTTTGGAGCATTTCCATCATCCTTTTAGACATAAATGAGCATTTGCTTGTGACAACATGACTACTCCTGTATGTTAGTTTCCTACAATCTTAATTAAACTGCCGTCTCACCGTGTCAGGTTGATAAACTCATTAAAAGTCGTGTACTGGTAGACATTATGCATGTATTTTATGTGTGTGTGTGTGTGTGTGTCCGTGTGTCCATGTGTATATCTCATCAGGCTGGTACGCGCCGTGAGACGGTGCTGCATGTGGCGTCGCGTCGAGGCCTTCACGACATTGCACGCTATCTGATGGAGCACAATGCTCGCGTCGACCTGAAGAACTGGCTCGGACGGGTGAGTTTGGAGTGCAAGGACTAGTAGCACGGAGGCTAATCCAGAGTGATAAACTGACACTGAATGATCAATATTGCACTGTGCTTCAGAGCTCTTGGCCGTAGATTGAGTTAGACATTCCTGATCGTGGTGCTGTGTGAAAGACGTCTTGGTCGACTCAGACTAAGCACAGTCGGTGGTAGTGATGATGGTCGAAAGATCATAATTTGGGTGGAAGAATACACCCTCTGATTCCTAATCTTCTAAGGACTTTGTCCTGTTTTGTGCTATTGCAGACTCCGTTTGAAGTAGCCCATGACAACTCCATGAGAAAAATACTTGTGCAGGTGCAACGTGTGATCCAGATCCAGGCCGTACCCGACCTCAATGACGACGGTATTCCCGACGACAAAAGGTAAACACGGCGAATGGCATGGCCTCAGTGGCCCGTGCAGTACACATTCGTTAGTCATGTCAAGTGTACACTTTCCCGTGCGCGCATCAGTGGTGCTCCATTTTCGAAAGTATCTGTAGGCGACGAGTGAGTGGCAAAGTTCTTTTGATATTGGCTAACATGCTGTCATGTGGGGCTCGAATTATAGAGATTGAAGGTGCACTAGGCAGGCATAGTGGGATGGTCTAAGACCATGATTGAGAAACAGAGGGTACCAGGTTCAAGTCCTGCTTGGAAGCGGAAGGAATTTTTCCAGCCGTGCTGCGACCCACAGTTAATTCGGAACTCGTGGCCTGGCACGAGGGTAACATGGATGCAGCTAATGGGATTTCGGTCTTTGACCACTTGTTGGTGGGTCTGATCTACTCACCTCCCACCGTTTAGGCGCTGCATCTACGCCTTTGATCCTAGAGGGTGGTGGCGTTCCCACGGCGGATGCGTGAGACTCGGCTTCCAGCCGAGTCTCACGCAAACCGTGAAATTTTTTTTTAAATTTATAAGGTGGACTTGGTATGCTTGGTTACACGATTTGTGGCAGGCCTGACCAATGTCCTGTAAAGCTTTTCATGTAATTCTAGTTTGCAGTCAAGCTCAAGTCACAGGCTCCTAGCTATAAATGTCAATGACAGTTTTAGATGCATCTTGCATTCAGTTTCCATTGGGAAAATGCTACGAGGACAGCCTGTGTTCCCCTGTGGGAAATTCGAACACTAGGTATTGAGCGAATATCCGGTAGATGCGTTTTCCAGTGCACTGTACTGATAGTTGAGCTCTCTAGGGAACCGGTCATTTCTGAATATGCCGAGTGGCATGCTGGCTGTTGAAGTGCTGTTCTTGTGTTCGTGTACGTCTGTGCTGCTGCTTGCTGGCTATCTTCTAGGTGTCGTGTGTGTATGGACAAACCAATCAATACCATCATTCTCCCGTGCGGCCATCAAGTAAGTAGACCGGGACTTAGAACATTATTTTTACAACTTCCGGATGAAATAATTATGGTCTTGAATTTATCATGTTAATTACATACATGTACATACAAATTCCCAAGAACAACGCTCCCGCGAACGCTCAATAATGATCTCAAAAAGCTGAAAAATAATACCGCCCTAGAGACTGGCGATGACTTGAACATGCTGCAGCAGCTTGCCCAAGACCGTCGACAGTGGCGGGAACTGGTGAAGGCTGTATGTAGCTGCTAATGAAACAATGGACATAATTTATACCTTTATATATAGATAATGGAGATGACTGCAACAGGCTGCAGCAGCTCGCCCAGGATCGCCCTCAGTGGCAGGACCTGGTGAAGGTTGTATGTAGCCGCTAATGCAACAATGGACATAACTTTGCGTTTCCATCTTGTCTTTTTTGTGATTGTGATGCTTGATGTGCACTGTGCTTCCTCGCATTCACTTGCTCCTTCTTGCAGCTTGTCTCTTTTTTTTCTGTTTTTTTGTTTTTTGTTTTGTTTTGACGCTCTGTGTGCATTGCGCTTCCTCGCGCTCACTTGCTCCTTCTTGCGGCTTAAGCGAAGGCTATATGTGAGCTTTATAAGCTCACTGATGCTAACGCGAATAGAGCATAATAATAACATACAAATTCAGTAGAGATCTAGCACATGGCTTTTTGCTGGTGTATTGCTGAAGATGCTATGAACTCGGGCCAGTGGTTATCAGCATGTCTTGTTGTCGCATGGCATGAAAAGATTAGAATTCTAGCTGCTGAAAATTTCAATGTGCTAAGTAGTACCCGGGGTTTTGTGCTGCGTGTTGTTTCGGTGCAGGCGTTCTGCAGTGACTGTGCCGGTCGTATCAAGGAGTGTGCACTGGACCGACAGCCGATCAACGAAATAGTCAAAGTGTTCTGCTAGCCCCGCGACGTCGCTATCACAATGCCACGTGCCCAGTTGTGGCTCAAATCGTTTACAACTTTGAAACCTACTACCATAGATGCCAGAATTGATATTGAGCCCAGTCCATCACCTTGCCAACCCAGCCCAAAATAGCAGACCCACATTGCCGACTACAGTATTTAATTTCCTTATGAAATTTTACTCTTTTTCCTGTCCAGAAAAATATATTTTTGCCAGCTAGCCGGCCTCTACGTACACCGCAGACACACCCACACACCATAGAAAGATACAGATCACAGCAGTAGTGTGGTCTTTGTTCACTCACGATATTATTTTATTTCTTGTGGAATGCACTTGGAAGATTCGTTGAGCAGAGCCCTTTTGGCATGTCTTAGTCTCGTAGACGGTAGAGCTTGGTTATTGTCTTTGTTGAAAATTTAAAATACGCAGAATTCATCATCGGCATATTCAGAGCTGGCTAGTCTTTCCTAAGTACAGAGGAGTTGGAAGCAGCACTGATTGTTATAGCTTTGGTCTTGCTTTGTGCCTGAATTATTTATTAATTTTTTTATGGCTAGTCTTGCGACATGTACTTTTAAGTCCTAGTTCGAACACTCGTACATTGTCTGGATATTTGTTGCTTGATGGTTGATACCGAAAATTCAGATCTCGCGTCCCAAGTCCAGAATTGTGAGTGTTGGTGCCTGGTGCTGCAGTGGTGCAACAGAAGACTGAAAAAGGTCTTTTGGAGCTCCAGCAAAAAGGCCACCAGTCTGTGGGATGCACCGAAGTTTAATCGGAATGGCTATTGTCTTGTTACTTCATCTCACATTCATTAAATTTTGTCATTGGCAGTCGTTTGACGAGCCAGGAAATGTTGAATAAATACAAAATTAATACAAAAATAGTACAGTAGTGGATACCATCATTCCTGAATTGAATGAAGGGAAGTGTAATTGGAGTGTTAGTGATGGACCTGGAGGTAGATCTACATGACCATAATCGTGTTGATTGTACAACTCAGTAGACTGTGGACGGTGACATGTCCGTCTTCGAACCTCCAGGGGAAAGATCAAGATGCAAACGGGAAATAAACATCTGCAGAAAAATTGACTGTCACCACCACCACCCTACATATCTTTGTAGTACGCACTATGTCCATAATTATGACATGGTCACGTGATCACTGATGATCGACGTGTTGTGTTTGCATTGGGAATGGTATGGTATTGATTTATATTAAATTTTGAATTCGGTATCTCAACAGTACAATGTACAACCAAGTGTTACTTGGGAAGATCCGAATGACATAATTATTGTAGATACATAAACAATTTTACATAAAAAGTGGAGTAGGCGCTACAGTACAGCTAGTACAGCTGATCATTTTATCGCAGGTTGTGGCAACTTGTGGGGCTAAACTATTTTAATATATAAAATTAATAATTATTATTATACCAGTATGCAAGTACACAAGAAATAAAAGCTGAATAAATACGACTCTGATTCATTTTTACAAAAGACATCATTCCAAATTTATTTATGCGTCATGCCGGTGCCATTCATGAGTTCGAAACGTTCGTAACTCCGGCGTCTTGCGCTTGATCACTTGCGATGAGTTCTGCCAACGAGTAACATACCGGTATACCGTCGTTACTTCTGTGACCATCATCAATTCCGCATCCGGCACATGGCAGGGAATCGCTTAGCCTTACTGCCCTTAGCCTAAGAAAGTACGATAAAACCTAGCGCAGCTACGTAGATCTACTTGGCGTCTGATTCCCTACCCTAGGCTAGAACCAGGGCCGTGGAGTCTCGTAGCAGTCAAGTGGAACGCGGCGTTTGAGAACGACACCGGTGATTACTAGCAGTAGCCTTTCTTGACGTGTAGTTGTAGCGTACATCAAGCAATCATCTGTGCGATGGATTTAAATTGGCGCCGTGGAGTGCACTCTCTGCTCCGGAGACCAGGAGAAGATGAAGACGAGGTCGCCCATATGGCCATGTACGCAACGCATGAAAACAGGCCCGATGTCGATGACTCGCACGGGGTCAGTGATGGCGGCGATGACAAGCCAGGTGAAGAGTACTGTGCATGTGGCGTGCACAGAGTCTTGAAAGGGGGGGTTTCCAGAGATGGTAATTTCTTATCTGGAGGCCCACTGTATTGTGTATTTAAAATTATGTATTTTGTGCACATGCGCATCCCCCGAACATCCCGTCGAAGATAACGGCGAGGGCTAGGGAGGGGGGGGGGGGGGCAGGGGGCACTCAAGATCAGGGGGCAGGGCACCAATAGACACTGGTGCTGATGAGATGTGGGGCTCCTCCGACTGCTATCATGCCCGCACAAACGCGTCTGAGATCTTCCTCGCTCGAGATCTCACGATCACTGCCAGTGTCATCCACGTGTACGCGTTTGAAAGCGCTACGGTGTTCTCCACCCCATATCCACACCCTACATTCACTCTATATCCACTCCATATTCACCCTATACTCACCCCATATCCACCCAATATTCACCGGTAGCATTTTTCTTTAATCAAAATCGCTTGCACATGATTGATAAAATCTTGATCCCGTGCTTTGATGTGATTTGTGAACTATTTTAGCCGCGCAGGTCTCTTGATCCGACTAGCCGAGTCATTAGCTGCTACGGGGTCTAGCTGACCTCCACAGCTCATGGCTCATTTCAATCTTGCACCAGTACAGGACTACATTGTGCTGTACTGTCGATCTCAAACTAGAATTTGCCGAAGATGCGTTTGGCAATGAGGGCGGCAATCGTGCCAATAAACACAGGTTAATACCGTATTGTCCCCAATAAATGTACAGTACTTTTATTTTTCAAAGGTGGTCAGACCTGGACTACTATAGGAGACTGTACTAGTATTGGAGACGTGTACTTTTATTGTTTCTGGGAAGATTGATTGCCTGGGTTGGGTGGCAAACAACTCGTGATAATGATGCTGTAAGGCTGTAAATACACCCAACCATGGTAAGAATCAGTGTACATGTACAAAGACACAAATATGATGAACGGGTAAGAAAAACGAAGTAAGGTGGACCCTGGTATCTGTACCCCACTAATGCCCATCACATCATTCCGGCATGTACTATTATTAGAGACGCGTCCTTTTATATTTTCGATCCACACCCAACATGTACTACAATTGGGGACGTACTAGTAATGGAGACGTGTACGTTTAATGGGGAAAATACGGTATCACCCTAGGTATGCAGACAACTTTGTGTATAACGACACTTGGCGGGGCATCAGAAAATGTCCTTATTCGCGAAGTGTCCTTATACCCAAAGTCGCATTATATGTACTGAAGTATACAGTTAGGCTTGACTTTGCTCTGGGCATGGAAATTTTGTCGTTATATCCGCAGTCGTTCTTAGCAAAGTTGACTGTAAGTATAATATTACCTTCAGCCTCGTGAGTATCTGGTCTGATGTTCACCACGTTTACAAACCTCGGGGGACCTCGGTTTGTATACTAGTGAATATCAGCCAACACTCATTTCAGCTTCAGGTAATATTATATACATAGAGCTATGCACATACATGACTTCAAAGAAGCATGCATGTGTGTGTGGGTGTGGGTGTGGGTGTGGGTGTGGAAAAAAGTGGTATGTGCAGCGATTTCCAATCGATAGGTTGCGGGTTCGATTCCCGACGATTATGGTCACACACGTCTTCCTTCTCTTTCTCAGACTCTTCCTGACTTTTCTTTCATTCTCCTTGGTGGTTACCAACAGGCAGTGCATGCCGGAGTATGTGGTGTGATGTGTGCGCGGGAAAAAAAAAGAAAGAAGAAAAAAAGACCAAAAATAGGGATTCACTGGCCAGAAAAAGTCACTTCAAATAGCTGTATGGTGTAGACCAGGTTGAATAGTGACGGTCAATTCTTCAGCCTTGCAAGCTGTTGAATGGTGCAATCCCAGCACAAGTTATGGCTTCTGCCGTAGCATTGCTAACATCGCCTCCGGCGATGGGCGTCAAAGGTCAAAGGTGTGTGTGCTCCCGCTTCTGGGAGCGGCGTGGCCCGATAGGGTAGCTGTACATAGTAGTAGTAGTGTGTGTGTGTGTGTGTGTGTGTGTGTGTGTGTGTGTGTGTGTGTGTGTGTGTGTGTGTGTGTGTGTGTGTGTGTGTGTGGTGTGTGTGTGGTGTGTGTGTGTGTGAATGAATGGTGTAATCCCAGCACAAGTTGCTATGTCTAAACATAGCTGTTCGCTATCATCGCTTCTGCGATGGGCATGTCTGAGGTCTGAGGTGTGTGTGTGTGTGTGTGTGTGTTTGTGTGTGTGTGTGTGTGTGTGTGTGTGTGTGTGTGTGTGTGTGTGTGTGTGTGTGTGTGTGTGTGTGTGTGTGTCACTAGGCAGGCATTGGACTTGGTTAGTCACTGAATGCACTGCATTCTGCACACTCTCAATACTGGTGTTCGAATATGATGAGTCAGCCACTAATGAGATAATTGTGAAAAATTGTCTGAACGTGCTTCTTTGTGGATCAGCAAGCTGCACCCTCGAGCAGGATGCACACTCTGTGCTAATTGGAATCTTTCCATCGTTCAGTACATAGATTATGGTCTATCTGGAAGGTGACCCATGGCCAGCAGATTGACCAACGTATCTCCTGCCGCAGATGTCTTGAGGAGATCATAGCTGATACTTTGAAACCTGAGTACGCCAAATCCATGGTTACGCCATGTATCACGAATGCTTGACCTCATCCCCGGGCAGAAGCTGTATCGTGCTACACTCAGAGGGTCTGCCGCAAAGTGCAAGACCCTGAATACGTTGGAATGACGCAGCCGGAGAAGGTGGATTAGACAGCTCGGGCAGCCAGGTGTTATCGCCGAGGGTGGACAGAAGCAACATTTACGAAAATAATTCGCTGTAAAAAACACTCCACGAGTACTTTCAACAAAAATTATCTTCTCATCAGGTGGAGTACACTCAAGAGAGAAATTTGTCAACATTTACAATGAGTTTAATACAGCAGAGAGGTAATAGAAGAGCGCATAGAACAGTAGCCAGAAACAGCGACTGTAAAATGCATTACCTTGTACACACAGAAGGAATGGCAAGGTGCCGGGTGAAGAAACCTAACAAGCGCGATACGCAGTGCGATAACACCTGGCTGCCCAAGGTGTCTAATCCACCTTCCCCGGATGCGTCATTCCAACGTATTCAGGGTCTTGCACTTTGCGGCAGACCCTCTGAGTGTAGCACGATACAGCTTCTGCCCGGGGATGAGGCGAAGCATTCGTGATACATGGCGTAACCATGGATTTGGCGTACTCAGGTTTCAAAGTATCAGCTATGATCTCATCAAGACATCTGCAGCAGGAGATACGTTGGTCAATCCGCTGGCCATAGGTCACCTTCTAGATAGACCATAATTTATGTACTGAAAGATGGAAAGATTCCACTTAGCGCAGAGTGTGCATCCTGCTCGAGGGTGCAGCTTGCCGATCCACAAAGAAGGACGTTCAGACAATTTTTCACAATTATCTCATTAGTGGCTGACTCATCATATTCGAACACCAGTATTGAGAGTGTGCAGAATGCAGTGCATTCAGTGACTAACCAAGTCCAATGCCTGCCTAGTGACACACACACACACACACACACACACACACACACACACACACACACACACACACACACACACACACACACACACACACACACACACACACACACACACGTGCTTCCCCTAGCTGCATCTCATGTTTGGCATTTAAGTGGTCTTTGTAAAAAACAAAAACAAACATACACACATACACACACACACACACACACACACATGCATGCTTCTTTGAAGTCATGTCTGTGCATAGCTCTATCTATAATATTACCTGAAGCCGAAGTGAGTGTGGGCTGATATTCACTAGTATACAAACCGAGGTCCCCCGAGGTTTGTAAACGTGGTGAACATCAGACCTGATACTCACGAGGCTGAAGGTAATATTAGACTTACAGTCAACTTCGCTAAGAACGACTGCGGATATAACGACAAAATTTCCATGCCCAGAGCAAAGTAAAGCCTAGCTGTATACTTCTGTACACAATATGTACCCAAAGTCTCATTAGGCCATCATTTTTTATATCTATGTTTGGCGTCGTCCGCACGCATACTTTTTTGATTTTTTCGGAAAAAAATTAAAATATCCACCATGCACAGTTACAGTCCATTCACAAAAAGATGGGCCCTGGCTCTGGCGAGCTCCCGTATTAGGCGATTTTCAAGATTTTATCGTACACAGTGCAGTGCTGTGAAACTTGAAATTTGAAAAAGGGTCCAAAAGGGGTACCTGAACTGGGGTTCGAACCGTACAATGCACTGTTGCAGGCAGGGTCAAACAGCCTGGATTTTGATTGGTTTTCCCTATTCAGCGCTCTTGGGGTAAAACCTGGCCGAAATCTTATTCTTCCCATGGCTTGCTTTTTGGAGAAATAGACTTCAGAAACATAATTGGAAGAGGATTCCATAGGGGGTTGCAGAAAAAAATCTAAAAAAACTCAACGTTTGACCCATTTATGGCCAAAAGCTAGAAGTCCATCTTTTTCTGAATGGACTGTAGTGTACGATCGTGCGAGTCATCAGTGTGGACTGGTTGCATATGGCGAAGCTGGGATTCAGAAATGGCCTCGAGGCCAGCGTTGGTAAATCGTTTGTTCGGCATCTGCGAGCAGTATTCTATGAGCTTACAACATTAATTTTACAACAGACCGCATCGATCGCCTCAAGCTGAGAGGATGCGTCGTTCCGGAGCTCTTTGCACCGCTGCCGAAGGCTGAGTACAATAATCCAGAGAAGCAAGGGCACCAACGGTTGCCTCCTCTGTCCAAAGTGATACAGATTTTGTGCTTGGATGTACGATTTTTCTTTCGGATGTACACCATGCACGAGCTATTGTGCTATGTACAGTTCTATACACATCTGATGAGCCTTTTTTATTTTGCAACTTTTTATTTTTTTCCACCTCTCGCATATGATTCTGGAAGTTTTAACTGACGCGAAATATAGATATAAAAAATGATGGCCTTATATTATAATGAGACTTTGGGTATAAGGACACTTCGCGAATAAGGACAATTTTCTGATGCCCCGCCGAGTGACGTTGTACGCAAAGTTGTCTGTATCCCTAGGGTGATATTCACCTGCCTCTATTTGCACGATTGCCGCCTTCGTTGTCAAACGCATCTTCGGCATATTCTAGTTTGAGATCGACAGTACAGCACAGTGTAGTCCTGTACTAGTGCAAGATTGAAATGAGCCATGGGCTGTGGAGATCAGCTAGACTTTGTAGCAGCTAATGACTCGGCTAGTCGGATCAGGAGACCTGCGCGGCCAAAATAGTTGACCAATCACATCGAAGCACGGGATCAAGATTTGATCAATCATGTGCAAGCGATTTTGATTAAAGAAAAATGCTACCGGTGAATATGGGGTGGATATAGGGTGGATAGAGAGTGACTATAGGGCTGTGCATGGATGCATGAAAAGCATGTGAGTGAATATCACCGTAGGTCTAAGTAGTTTCATGTCCATGCACACATTCATGGCTCTTCCTTCTTTTCTTCTTCTTCGCTTTCTCCAGATGAAGGGCTAGCGCATGGTGAGCCGATTCACAACTCATTTTTCCAGTTGAAAATAGTGAATATTCTTCCAAAACCGGCTACACCAAGAACGACACCAGAATCGACGGCCGCAATAACGGAAACATCCAGTGCGTCCGAAGTTGCGGCGGGTACTGTCCAGAATGAAACCGTTTCCGCGGTTGACTCCAGAGAAGGTGAGCCGAGTGCGGACGCGGAAGAAGACAATGGCGTGGAGCTTGGAGCGAGGGTGTTTCGAGCAATGTCCAAGGATAAGTTTTACGTAGGGCCGTGGGGCATCACCATTGGATCTAGCAAGGGTTGTGCTCTTTGTCTGCCAGAGCTAACTCTGGTCCAGCCTGAACATGCCCACATCGAGTGGAGGTCTGATAATCCCAGCTCAGCAAGTATGTTGTCTCCGGCTGACGGCGGCCGGGCTCGGTTGACTTTGCAGGATCTTAGCGGTGGAGGACGCTTTTGGCTAAGCTGCCAGCCTGGATGTTCTGTAATACTGCATGGAAGTGATGAAGGGGATGAAGAACAACGATCAGAATTGCTAAGTGAGCCTGTTAAGCTATGCTGGGGGGCCAAGTTCAGTGTGGGACGAGTACAGTTTCAAGTCATTCCTTTGACACCGCCTGAACTGGCCAGGAAGCGTCTGTTTGCTGCCGTGCGTAACAACGACGCGACTGTCTTGTCGGCGGTGCTTGATGCAGCCAAGGAGCACAGTGGTCTTGATGGTAAGGACAGTATTGTTCCCAGGTGCGTGCCCCGTATGGGTTCCTGGGTGCCCGGAACCCCCCTTTTTTCCCTCAAAATGCAAGATTTTGCTTCATTTTTTGAAAAATTTCACGGGGAGGCCCCCGGAACCCCCCCCCCCCATTAAAGGGCACCGGCGCACGCGCCTGGTTCCTACTTCAAGTACTGATGCCCTTCCTGCTGCAGCCTTTCCTGATACTACTGCTACTTCTGCTGTTGTTGTTGTGCTGTTGTTCCCACCGCTGCTGCTGTTGCTGCTGCTGCTGTTTTCTTACTGCTGCTGCTACTGATGCTACTGTTCATGATAATTATAGTGGTGGGCCTTGTTAGTCTTGTCATAGCAATTGTCCTCGTTGCCGTTGTCTACATTGGCCTTCGTGAAGTCGCGAAATGTGCAGGCAACGATGCCGTGTTCACGCAAATTTCGACAAGGGTTGCTAGCCGGAGCATGCATGATGAAAGGGATTTCCCCGTCAGTTGTGATCCTGGAACTCTATCAGTGCTTGCAGGGGTGTTCTTAGGCGCATACTGATCATGCTGCACTGCCCTTGTTGTGCTCATGTACACGTGCATATCATGCGACAGGGATGAATGTTGGCTGAGCAGGGTCATAGGAACCCGGTCTGGCCAGCCCAAAAACAATGACCTACCCAAATCGTGCAAACGGGTATATCAAATAACGTTCATTTCCCATCAAGTATCTCATTTAGCCGGCCCGCCTGAAATCCCGTTCCTGCCGCCCTGTAAAGTCTTGAACAGGATGCATGCTTTTAGATGTATGCCTCTGCATGTGGTCACCGTAATAGACAACTGAGCGACTGGCACTCAGAACCTCTGCGCTTCTGTTGCTTAGTTGTGTTTTCTCGTTCCGTGTGCGTGTTGCTTCTTGCTCCAAGGTGCAGGTGATCCGTGTCTATTGCTGCGACAAACATCCACCGAGCTCACGAGGGGTCTTGACCTGGACATCACGGACCAGCAGCCATGTCCGTCATTCGAGGAAGAGACCAGTGAGCGCCTACAGCGGCGTATGAGATCGCCGTTTGCGATAGGCACACGGCGAGAGAGGTGGCGAGAGTTCCTGCAGCGTCATGCCCAGACAAGGTACGCATCTCTTTGTCAACTGAAGTCGCCTAATGGTTACGCAACAGTAACGCAGTATGAAGCATGCACTCCGTACAAGTATTTCTGATTCGATATTCCCACTATATTCACTAGAATATCTCATTATCCGGACGTCAACTACCGCTATTCGGATGATCGATTATCCGGATCGCCTGATTGTGCTGGACAATGAAAAAATACCAAATTTTTCGAAGTTATTGCTGATTTTTCCCAATCGGAGCACCATTCAAGCGAAGCACAAGATGTACTACTGCAGGTTAAAGTCAACCGTATAACAATAGCAATTTCAAATGGTGAACCGGGTACTATTCGGCCAATAAAATGTAAAGAACTCTTCCTCTCCTCTCCTCCATGCGCTCTCACAGCCGACTCACTGCTACCCTCGGTAGCCATTACACACACCAACAGCCATACGAGGAAGGGTTGCAGGTAGATACTGAAATTCCTCCTGACAGCTGTTCCGCCTTCATAAGGCTCATCAGAGAAGGTGATATTGAATAGGGTGATATCAGGTGGACATGGTCAGATTTATACTGCAAAACATGGGCGCAAGATTACGGGCAAAGTGTGAGAATGAGAAGTTACAATTCTCCAGCAACACAGTACCAGGGGTTCCAAGAAAATGGCAGGTGAGTAATCCAATCACAAGCAAAAATTACTAAACTACACCTAGCCGTTAGAAAATTAATGTTAGCAGCTTGTGATTGAAGTTCTCACCTGCCATTTTCTTGGAACCCCTGGTACTGTGTTGCTGGAGAATTGTAACTTCTCATTCTCACACTTCGCCCGTAATCTTGCGCCCATGTTTTGTAGTATAAATCTGACCATCTCCACCTGATATCATCCTATTCAATATCACCTTCTCTGATGAGCCTTATGAAGGCGAAACAGCTGTCAGGAGGAATTTCAGTATCTACCTGCAACCCTTCCTTGTATGGCTGTTGGTGTGTGTAATGGCTACCGAGGGTAGCAGTGAGTCAGCTGTGAGAGCGCATGGAGGAGAGGAGAGGAAGAGTTCTTTACATTGTATAACGATAGTGTCAAACAATAAGAGGACAGAGAAAATGTTTTAAGTCCGAGTTTCACGCACTAAGCGATCATTAGAAAACAGTAATGATAAATCTGGATCAGTATTGGTTTATATACTCACAAAGCAAAGTGTGAATGGCTGCATCATGGCGCAAATCTAAAAGTTGTGAATGACAGCAGTGGTGAAAGGTGACAACCACTGGAGCCGGTTGTCTCTTACTTAATTAGGTGATGGCTGTGGATGGTTTGAAGTTCCGAAGGTAGTACTTATTCTCGCGGCGACACTTTGACACAAGCTCACTCCTCTTGTTGAGAGAGAGAGGTGCTTGCCAATTTTTCCGCCAGGTACAGGTTGCACCTTTTGCTTTTGTTGCTGTAAGCCGCTGCTCTGTGGTGTACCGCCCATTGAATGCTGCATGCCTTGCCTTCATCCTTCTTGGCCCAGACGTACTGCGATAGGCGGGTGTCCTTCTCGTGTTGTCTGTGGCGGAATGATGATTGGTGGCTATAGTAGCGTTGTTTGAACGATAGTGTCAGTTTGAGGAGCTGGAGTGCGACAAGTTCCTGTTGTACTGCTGAAGAGAATGGAACATGATGAAATCATGCTGGAGTATGCATGCCTTATATAGATGTGTGACTGCTCCCTTATCCGAACATTCTTCTCATCCGTACCTCCTGGAGACAGCCTGCGCCCCGGCGGGTGCAGATAATTTGCACTCTACCGTATTGCTGTGGCTTGGAAATGCAGTGAGAGGACACCCCAAATCCGGCTACACATGATCTCCGCCAAAAAACTTCGGAACAAGAAAGAACAAGCGAATAAATCCAGGAGCTACATTATCTGGTTAGATACTTTGAACTGACCTAATGAGCTGGTTGCCCGTTAAATTATAAGTGCGCAGGTATATTCAAAGTTAAATTCCAATGGTTTTTATCCGACTTTTCTCCTGTCTAAGACTTTGCACACTCCAACGCAGCCATTTACTCATTTGACTTCTCTCGACGCTCATACCAATTGATCTCTGTGCTGCGAAGATCAATTCTCCTTCACCTGTTTATTTGGGCATGTCCCAACAATTTTCTCTTCATCAGCAAATGTAAGCCTAGATACTTGGCCGATGGTACCACCGGCAGATCTTGACTATTGCATGTCACGCGTAGGGCAAAGGGTGGTGCTCTGTGAGGAGGGATTGGTAGGATTTGTGTTTTCGTTTCATTCAGAATTAAGCCACGCTGCCGTAGCCAGTCAGACAGGTGTTGTACTGCACCGGACAGTCACTGAGCAACGATTGCCGGTGTCTCGGCACTGGATCGTAATTATAACGTAAAAGTGAAAGTGACTTGGTGCAAACAAAAGTACCTTGATGCACTAGTAACCATGGTAACATCCTTCGCATTTCCCTGGTGAGCGCTTGCGAATATTTGTCAGGTACTTCCCCCCCCCCCCCATTGCTTTGTAAGTTGCTAATCCCTTTCCACTTTGTGTACGTGCTCTTCATTTTCTTTTTTCTCTTCTTCCGTGGTTGGTCTCACCCTCTCCTCAATTCAATTGGCTGTCTTGACATGCCACGAGGTGCAGAAATAAATAAAAATAAAAATAATACTTGCAATTTTTCACGTGATTTTTTTGCAATTTTTTTTCTCTGCACATTATGCGGCTTGTGTTTGCTAGGCATGAAAGGCTGTATCTGAGGTCTCGAGCGTTCCAGACGGTTGGACTGCTACACGTGGCCGTAGCGCAATCAAACGTGGACATGGTCTCTCTTCTGCTGGCGGAGGGGGCACAGGTGCAGTATAGCATACACTTTGTTTGTTGTATTTATATCATTATCTCATGGCACATCATGATGACGGCCAGTAAAACTGAGACAAGGGTGAAAGCCAACCACAGCAGTAAAACAGATAAAAGAATACGAATAAAAGGCAAAGAAGGCAAAGGAGGAGACAAACCACCAGGATGTCATGCAAATACATGAAACCTATAATTGAGCAGAGATTTTAGCAACAAAATTATCCATCGACGTGCTGGTCTTGGCCTGCGTTGGTAATGTTGCCCAAAACACGTAGCCAGCAAAGATCGGGGATCTAGTGAATAGGGTGGAGGCAGCGTGTGGGAGACTGAATGAGTTCCGGGTATTCCGTGTTTCGGAGAACCAATTATAAGCCTGCACTTATGCTGAATGTTTTCACTATTTCCAAAATCACCAAGGTCTTGTGACAACGCAATTCAAGAACAATAATTATTATCTTCTTGAGTTGCAGTGCATGACCGTGGTGGTGGTGGTGATGGTGGTGGTGATATTGATTAGGATATAACTAAGGGGCCGTCCGTAAATATCGATGTTTTTTTAGAGACGATATTGGTGCGTCTGGGGGGGGAGGGGGGTTGAGCCATGTGCGTCTTTTCGAGCATCAGAAAAATATCGATGTAAATATCTGAAGTTTCGCCGATCCCTGCACGCGGACGTCTAAATGGCCATACAAGAAATGTGAAACCAGCTTCCGTTCGCGGAGCTAAAACTCGCGACACAAGAACAAAATCAAAAATTGGAAGCTGTACGCCCATGGCGAATTTCAAGAGCAAAAGAATGAGCTATTGATTGTGGAAATCGGCCGAACGATGCCTGCAGGAGACCTTTTTCAAGACGTAGAGGCAGTGCGAACAAACACGGACGAACTCCACAAGAGTTTCCAGTCTTCACTGTCTGAACAAGGTTGATGAAATATGGTGGTAAAGACACACCTGGCAATATGGCGGTAAACACACGCCTGCCCACACACGCTCTCTAAGCTGCACAGTTCTGGCACAGAGCTCTCCTTCTCACCACCACCACCATCAGTTCGCGCCTGGCGCCTCGTCGATGTATGGTTGGCGGTATCTGACATAGCAGGCTGGTACATCAAGTAGCGCATGGCACATAGAAGATGACACAGCAACGACATAGCTCGATTGCGACGTACGTTTCGTCCCCGCTGGACTCATCAGGCAATCTTCTTCTTGGATGTCTTCATACGGAGCTTAACTCGGGAGAATGAATTTGAAGACACCACTGCAGCTGTACTTATGGTTGATGAAATATGGTGGTAAAGACACACCTGGCAATATGGCGGTAAACACACGCCTGCCCACACACGCTCTCTAAGCTGCACAGTTCTGGCGCAGAGCTCTCCTTCTCACCACCACCACCATCAGTTCGCGCCTGGCGCCTCGTCGATGCATGGTTGGCGGTATCTGACATAGCAGGCTGGTACATCAAGTAGCGCATGGCACATAGAAGATGACACAGCAACGACATAGCTCGATTGCGACGTACGTTTCGTCCCTGCTGGACTCATCAGGCAATCTTCTTCTTGGATGTCTTCATACGGAGCTTAACTCGGGAGAATGAATTTGAAGACACCACTGCAGCTGTACTTATGGTTGATGAAATATGGTGGTAAAGACACACCTGGCAATATGGCGGTTAACACACGCCTGCCCAAACACGCTCTCTAAGCTGCACAGTTCTGGCACAGAGCTCTCCTTCTCACCACCACCACCATCAGTTCGCGCCTGGCGCCTCGTCGATGCATGGTTGGCGGTATCTGACATAGCAGGCTGGTACATCAAGTAGCGCATGGCACATAGAAGATGACACAGCAACGACATAGCTCGATTGCTGTGTCTGAACAAGGATTTGAAAAAATTCAAGCCCGAGCGTAGCCGCTTTGGCTACACCAGTACACGATGAGTTGCACTTTGAACGCTTTTTGTACGATGAGTTGTACTGCACGGGTAGCGCTAGCGCGCCAGCAAACTTGCCATCTTGGGTTCATATTATTGACAAAAAAAGGAAAAAAATGAGCATCCAAAAATATTGATTCCATGATCTAGATGTACATGTGCGTCTTCTGGGGGGAGGGGGTCAAGGGAGAGAAGCACCAATATCGTCTCTAAAAAAACATCGATATTTACGGACGGCCCCTAAAATGGGATGCAGTGGAACCTTGGAACATTGAAGAAATTGGAGGTGTGTTATAAACCATGTACATCACTCAGAATACCGTCTGTGATGGGTGCCTCCTATCAAGTGAAGAGCATGCTAAAGCTCTTCATTCCTGGAACTATTCCAAAGGTGTTTGATGTCACACAGGGGTGTATGTGATACACAGTCTGGGAGAGATTCCTCCCCATTGCTCAATTTCTCATCCCCTCTCTCTCTCTTTCTCTCTCTCTCTCTATTTCTCTCTCTCTCTCTCTCTCATCTCACCCTCTCTCTCTCTCTCTCTCTCTCTCTCTCTCTCTCTCTCTCTCTCTCTCTCTCTCTCTCTCTCTCTCTCTCTCTCTCTCTCTCTCTCTCTCTCTCTCTCTCTCTCTCTCTCTCTCTCTCTCTCTCTAACTCTCTCTCTAACTCTCTCTCTAACTCTCTCTCTCTCTCTCTCTCTCTCTCTCTCTCTCTCTCTCTCTCTCTCTCTCTCTCTCTCTCTCTCTCTCTCTCTCTCTCTCTCTCTCTCTCTCTCTCTCTCTCTCTCTCTCTCTCTCTCTCTCTCTCTCTCTCTCTCTCTCTCTCTCTCTCTCTCTCTCTCTCTCTCTCTCTCTCTCTCTCTCTCTCTCTCTCTCTCTCTCTCTCTAACTCTCTCTCTCTCTCTCTCTCTGTCTCTGTCTCTCTCTTTCTCTCTCTCTCTCTCTCTCCCCCTCCCCAATCGCCCAATTTGTCCTTCCCGCTCCTATGTTCAATATCCCCCTCCTCATTGTCTTTCCCCAATATTCTCTCTCTCTTTCTCTGTCTCTCTCTCTGTCTCTCTCTCTCTCTATCTCTCTCTCTCTCTTTTTTTCTCTCTCTCTCTCCCTCCCTTTCTCTCTCTCTATCTCCCTCCCTCTCTTATTCTGTCTGTAAGGCGAATGACGGAGACAATTCGTCCCAGGAATCACCCCTAATGATGGCGGTGAAGCATGACAATATGGAAATTGCAAGACTACTGTTGGAGGTATTGTTATGTTTTGTACAAGATTACGCATTTGGGCAATAGTGTGCAGTTATCATTGTTCTCTTTTCGCATTGCAGTATTTTCTGTTTATAAATTGACCTTTTATGGCCTAAAAAAGAATTCAAGAAGGGGTTTAACCCCGTATTGGTGATATTGGTATTGTACTGTTAAATCGAGGCCCCAAGTTGGGAGGGTACGACTAGTATCACCATGGCCCTCCCCATTCATCCAAAGAAGCAATAAAAGAGCGCTGAAACGCGTCCTGTTGGCCGAAAATTCCTACGGGAACACCCCACACCCCGCGTCGTATCACTCCCCGCTGCCCGGTGCCCCCCCGCCAATGTTATGATTTTTGTCTCCACTTCGCCTTTTCAAGCGTGCAGCCTCTCGTGATGTTTTGTCCTAGGGTGGTGTGACTCACACTCGGTGCATGCTCAGCGTGTACAGACTCTCTGTGATGGCGTGCATTGCGTAGAATATGGAGATTACAACTTTCAAGTCTCTGCAACCCGATCACTTGCATGGAGGTAACCGGACCTGCACACCACAGACCCTTCATCCCAAACAAGCACCCTTACCTTCCGGTGCCCGACACGTATAATGGTAGACATACTCGTACTGAAAACAACAGTTACTGTCCATCCTGCATTGTGTGACCAGTGCATTTCTTCCTTGCCACATTTGAGTCCGGAAAAGGCCGAAGATAGGGAGTAAGAAATCAGCCAGGTTTAAATAGAAACTACGGGTTTACAGACTGATTCAGTGGAGGTAACATGTGGGCTCGTCGTCTGGCGCTACGTTGCTGCTTTTGGCATCAGCTTCTCTATTTAGCAGCTGTGTTTGTGCCCACACTGCATTTCGAAAATTGTGCATTTGTTTGTAATATGACTGTTGCCTTTCCTGGATGTTGACTGTGGGTGCAGCATGGAGCGAGGGTGGAGATCACGGACAGGAACGCACACCTGCTGTTTCAAGGTGCCGCGTCGCACAAGATGAGGTCTGTGCCTACTCACAATATCAAATATCAAATATATGTCAGTACTCCGACCTGCACACAAGTGTGTGTGTGTGTGTGTGTGTGTGTGTGTGTGTGTGTGTGTGTGTGTGTGTGTGTGTGTGTGTGTGTGTGTGCGTGTGTGTGTGTGTGTGTGTGTCTGCCTGTCTGTCTATGCATGTTCGCCTGTCCCTTCGTCCGTCCGTCTAGTTCTTATTCTGCTGTGGATACTTGGTTTTCTTTCTTTTATTCTGCCTCGTTTTTTCACTCCCAGTGTGTCAGTCTAAAAGCAACCACTCACGCACACACACACACACACACACACGCACACACACACACACACACACACACACACACACACACACCATTGGACCATTGGACGCCCATTGCCGGAGGCGATGATAGCGATGCTACAGCAGAAGCCATAGCAGCTTGTGGTTACACACACACACACACACACACACACACACACACACACACACACACACACACACACACACACACACACACACACACACACACACACAAACACACACACGTGCGCGCAGTCATGCTCTTACTTTCCACGGCTTATAAGGACATCTTGTTGCAGCTGAACATACGTGCTAGGCAGGCAATGGTGACGCTTGTATCAGTCAGGCAACGGTAGCAGCCGTACTGCTAACCGGCAATGGCAAAAGTACAGTCCATTTCAAAACTATAGACGCGTACCTAGGCAAAAACCGTTATGCCAGCATCTATACCACATAAAATCTGTGATCACTTTGTGCATAATTTTTTCCAAATTGGGCGTCTGTTATCCAATCCTTTAGAAACTATATGAGAGTAATTGTGGAGCGATCCTGAGCAATATTCCGAAAACTATTCTCAAAAAGTTCCAGCCAAATTTGAAATATTTCAAAAACCCTACGCGTCTATAGTTTTGAAATGCACTGTAGTGAGGTTTCCTGCAGCTTCATACATAGACAGTGGTCTAATCTAGTGCTGCTGCATCACGCATTGCCTGCTGCTTTTCGTTGTTAGAGCCTCTGGCGCTAGAGTGACGAGCTATCTTAATGTCTGTGGTGCCTCCTTTGCACCATGGCTGGTAGCTCGGCTTGCTTTTAAAAACCTTGTAGCTGTACTGATGAGGCCTTTATGGCCGCTACAGCTTGCTGTCTACAGCATGGGGTGCATAGAAAGTGGTGTGGACAAGATGGTAATTTTCCCGACACGTAAGAAAACGGTAGCGTGGCCGAGTGGTCTAAGGCGCTGGGTTAATGCTCCAGTCTCTACGGAGGCGTGCGTTCGAATCCCACCGCTGCCACCAGTGTTAGCTCCCGGCTAAACACACAGTCCCGTCACACTCGTGGAACACAGGTTTTTATAGTTTCTGAAGTATTGAATCTGGCAGAAGTAGAAGGTTTAGACTTAGAGAAAGGGAAAGACAAAAGAGAGACAAGCAAGAATCACTGGAGCACGCACTCTTGTATAACTGATGGGTTCTCATTACTATGACAACGGAGCGGGAACTTTGAATAGTGAGTACAGAATAATTGTACTGTATGGATGTCTAGTACAAATTGTTACAAAAGAAAAGACTTGACCGTATGATGGAAGCGAATTTGATAACTGCGGGACCGATCGGTAGAGAGCAGATCTGGTCTACATGAGTTTTAAGGCAATGGTGACAACTGTTTTGTTACCATAAAAATGATAAGCAGCCACAGAAAAATGATAAGCAGCCATGTCACCACTGCAACTGACTGGATGGTGTTGTCGTGTTCTGTTGACGTGCAGGCAGCTGCTTCTAAACGTGCCTCTGCTATGCTCTTCTGCCGAAGTCGGTGATGTAGACGAGGTCCGCCGACTTCTGGCCTGCAACACGCCGCCCAATGGCATTGGACTCAGGTGAGCTTTCCTGTGCGATGCACGTGTGTATAGGGTGAAGGGGGGGGGGGGGGGGGGAGGGTCATGATATTGTGTCAGGTATGTGTGTGTGGGGGGGGGGGGGGGGGGGAGTTTAAGTAGGTTAACCGTAGGTGATTGTATTTTTTTGTGTTTACTGAACACGTTGATGTGACCGAAGGCAATACAGAGGTGACGTGGACGGTTGGCTATGGGTTAGCTATGGGTCAGCTATGGGTTGGCCAAGGCAAACTTACAAGAAGGAAATAAAATAGGGAGGAAAGGTTGCCTATGTTGCGATAGTTGACTTTATCTGGCGATTCTGGCTTGTTGGTATCAAAATCGACCCTGGGGCCAGTGCTGGCTTGAGTGTGCATTATGTCCCTGCTGCTGCTGCTGCTACTTCTGTTGCTGTCCAGAAATAAGAACTCACTGCACTTTGCGTCCATGTCGGGTCATGCAGAAGTCGTAAAGTTACTACTCCATGCTGGTGTAAGTGAGGGTAGAATGGCGTTGACCTGAACTCGGGACAAGAGACAAGTGCAGTGGGGGAATCCCCCTGCCAGCAACACTAACCCCACACTCTGTCAGAGTAGATCACAGTGATTTAGATTTGAACACCACTGAGTGGACTGGATAAAACAACCAGTTTTCTCCTGCAATCACCTGTAAAGAACTATTGTCAGTTTTGCCGCTACCTGTCCACTGGCATCATTGAGTAATGCTTCCAGTGGTACCCCCTCCCCCCCCCCCCCCCTCTCCCTGCTAGTACCTAACAGTGATACGAGGCTCATGCATGACTGTTATGACAGAGTAAAGTGCAATTCCAATCACGTCATCACACATAGTTCCCTCTCCTGCCTCGTAGTTTTTAAGTGCAATTCCAATCACGTCATCACACATAATATTTCCCTCTCCTGCCTGGCAGATTTCTCATGCACTCATCTTCGGGGTAAATGACCACGTCTGAAACATGTCAGTGGCTGTTTCAGCTTGAACGAGCCAGTACCGTATTTTCCGGAGTATATGCCGCGTTGAAGTATATAAGCAGCACTCCCCATTTTTTCCCCACAGATTTCAGACATCTATCCTATTTATCACCTTGAATTTGATCATCGGAGTATATGCCGCACCCCCTTTTTTGGGTGAATTTCGAGTGTTCAAAGTGCGGCTTATACTTCGGACGATGTGGTAGTTTGTCATTTTTAATTATTTGAAATTGCATGCAAACTAATAACTTTTCCTAGGAGAATGTCAGTGCATGCTTCACCACAGTGACACTGTTCATTAAACAAAATTCACGGTTCGCGTCAGACTCGGCTAGAGGCCAAGTTTTCCGCACCCGTAGGAACGCCACCACTCTTCAAGGATCAAGGGCGCAGATGCGCTGAGCTCCTAAAGCGGTGGGAGGTGAGTAGATCAACACACCAGCAAGTGGTCAAAGACCGAAAATCCCATTCACTGCATCCAAGTTTTCCTCACTGTTCATGATCTTCACTGTTCACACCGTTCACTATCTGTCTATATATGTCACAGGCCAGTGTTGACACGCAGGGTGGGTCAAAGCAACGGACTGCCTTGCACTATGCTGCCCTTTCCGGCTGCGTTGAGGTTGCTCAGTGCCTGCTCAAAGCTGGTGCCAAAGAGGACACCCAAGATAAGCTTGGTTTCACTGCGTTGAACCTTACTGACAACTCGGAGATGTGCAACTTGCTGAAGAACACGGTACGCAGGAGATAATCTCTGCAAACTATTACAATGTCTGACCGTGTGAACACGTGCGCACAATCTCTCTCTCTCGCTCTCTCCCTCCCTCTCTCTCTCTTTCTCTTTCTCTCTCTCTCTCTTTCTTTCTCTTTCTCTTTCTCTTTCTCTCTCTTCCAATAGTCCCTACTCTACGAAATACTCCTCTTCTGATACCATGCTGATATGCCGGCAAAGTAGCAAAATGATGTATTTTTCAGAGTTCATACTATTGGTCAGTGGAAGATGATGAGCAAAATAGTATAATAAAATGAAGAGCCCCAAACACCTCACCGAAAGGTGGTCATTTCTTGCACCGTACATCGATGATGAGGCGTTCAATGTGCAAATTAAAGTAGGCCAGTCTTCAGACCTTGATCTATTGCAGTCATGACTTTTGTTAAGGGCAAGGCAGATATGGTCTGCGGTGACTGAGGTGGGGAACGCTCTTTATCCTAGTTTTTGGCAGTGAGGTCACGCCGCCTCCACGCGTGCCGTCATCCTCTTAACCAGGGTCAGAAGGTCTGAATCGGATCTCTTGAACATGCCAGTTTTTGTATTCAACATGTGCGTGTGTGTTGTATGCTCGTACAGCAATCACCATCATTGTGCATTGCAGCCCAGGGTGGCGACATCGCCATGGCACGGCAACTCCTGGAAGACGACAGTCTCCGTAGCGACGAGAAGCAGGACTTGGTGAACCAGCGCAATGAGCAACGCCACGCTGCCATCCATCTGGCCTGTGTTGCCGGTAACATGTGAGCAAGACACAGACTAGCACTGTAATAATACTCGAGATGTCATCGCACTACCACATCACAGCTTGTATCAAGCAACTTCTGTACTGAGAATAGGCAACTTAGCTACCAAACAAGCATGAATACAAGGCCTCCCCTCAGATAGAGCCGTCTCTAAAATAAAGCCTGTCTTCCCCCACGAATAGCCCCCCCCCCCCCCCAGAATGCATCTTCTGAAAACTAATAGAGCGCCTGGGCTTCAATTTACGCTTCTACGGTATAGCTTCTCTTCAGTTAGGACACCTCTCTGCATACTACGTACTCCATGAAGATGTGTGCTGTGACTTCAAGCCTGAACCACCAGCCCTAAAGTGCCTACATGTGTGTTAGTTGTCGGGAGCTGATCATGACGTTATGTGAAAGTGAGTCTTTCAGCTGGGAAGATCTTTTACATGTAAGCGAACCCTAAGTCATTAAACAGAGTTCTTTATGCTAACTTGCGGAATATGAGTTCTTGGCAGGCAAGGCTAAAGGCTAGCAAAGAAATTTCTTTCATCAAGTTAAAATTTAAACTAGAGTCACTCGATTAGAATTGAGTGACCCGCACTACAACATTACGCGAAGATGGTGTTTGGAGTTGGGTGCAGTTGTGGAACTTTACGTTGCATACAGTTAGTGACTTGGTCTCCTTGACTGTGTTGTCCCAAGTCTGCATGTACTTAAGTCTAACTACATCACTGGAATACTTCAGCTGCGCTCACTGAAATCCGGCCTGAAGAGCAAAACTGGCGCCCTGCACCAGTTCTGCTCACATCGCAGGTCTTTTACATGTGTGCGTCGAGCCGTGCTAAATCATACAAAAAAAAACTCCATTCCACTCTCAGTATTCCAGCACTCCAGTGCTATAGTTGTGCTTTGTGAAATCAAACACAGAGTGCACATGTGGCACCCTCAACTTGCACGGCCCTTGACACCCTGGACCAGTTCTGCTCACATCGCAGTTCTTTTACATGTGTACGTCGAGCCGCATTCGTACCACATCCAGGGTGTCAAGGGCCGTGCAGGTTGAGGGTGCCACATGTGCACTCTGTGTCTGATTTCACAAAGCACAACTATAGCACTGGAGTGCTGGAATACTGAGAGTGGAATGGAGTTTTTTTTGTATGATTTAGCATGCACATGAACCCAGCTGTTGATGTTTTGTGTTCTACTGCTGCAGTGAGTTCCTACAGCTGCTGTTGCAGCATCGTGTCGACGTGAACATGCCTGGCGGTTCCGGCGAGTGGACACCTCTGATGTTTGCCAGCGCCGCAGGTTAGAAACCGATCCGATCACCCGTTGCTTTGATGTGAAGGGTGTTACGGTCTCTATTCTTTCTGCAGTGTCGAAGTTATAATTATGAATGTAGTGCCTTGCCATAACCGGAGTGGGGCTTGTTTGTTTGTTTTTCTATTTTTGTTTACACCGGAGCCATTCCTGAGTCCAAGTATATGTACGGGTACATTGAATAGATGATTCTCAATTCAGCATGTCCTTTCACTTTTTGCCGGTGTCGGTCCATGTGAAACTTTCTTTGAGCCCAGGCAACGAGGCTTTGTTCTATGTGAACTATAAACCCATGGCTGGGGCCTCCTTTTCGGACTCCCCTCCCCCAACAACCATGAATAGATTCTAAGCGGAGGGGGTTTGGTGCCAATGGGTTACATCATGGGGTGCTCATGGAGCCAAGCAAGACCGTGATCCCCATTGGCGTAAAACAGCCTTCTCTGGTACTGTTTTTATCTAACACCCCTCCCCTCCCATGTGTCTGGTGTTGCTCTATGTCAGACTGGCTTGCAGTTCCAGCAGCAAGGCCAAGCATTTTGTGGCGCGATTATACTTCTATACCTCTAGTCTGTGACCACTTGGGACCCCTCTCCCCCTACTCCTACCCCTACACCCCCTACCCCTACCCCTACCCCTCTCCCCCTACTCCTATCCCTACCCCCTCCCCTACTCCCATCCCTACCCCTCTCCCCTACTACTACCCCCCCCCCATACTCCTATCCCTACCCCTCCCCCTCCCCTACTCCTATCCCTCCCCCTACTCCTATCCCTCCCCCTACTCCTATCCCTCCCCATACTCCTATCCCTCCCCATACTCCTATCCCTCCCCCTACTCCTATCCCTACCCTCCCCCTACTCCCCGCCCCCCCCATTCCTACTACTCGCAGGGCGCGAAATAACGGTCGGACATCGGACAATTTCCGACCGTTTACGGTCAGTTTCCGGATGTTTTTGTACACATCCGGACAAAGTGTCCGCGCACTTTTTTGCAAAGTACAAAAAAGAAAAGGCACGTCAATCCTTTGTCTCATAGTCATTAGTGATGTCGTCTGGCAAGAGAAAGCCAAGTACGGCTGACTCCGGGTGCTCAGCTTGGAAAGAAGCCCAGAGCAGTCAAGACGACCTCTTGTGACAAGTGGGTTGCTGAGTATGATAGGGAGCTTTCAATTTACTTCTGTTTGGCTGAGCTATGAGTATGAGCGCAGTCCCTCAGATCGTAGCGTTGTCGAAAATTTGAAGTGTAAGATGTGTTCCCGTTTTGCTGATAAAATTCGCAGCATCAAGAATTTTTCTGACTCCTTCGTCGTTGGCTCAAGGCACCTGAAAACATCAGCCTACAAAGATCATGCTGCTTCTGAAATGCATCGCCGTACCATGGCATTGTTTGGCAAGGAGCCGTGAGTCAAGCGGAAACCCAATAGTGTATGCGCCAATCGCTCGAGCCTTGTGCAAACTTGACGACGCAGCAGCAGCCAAGGTCGGACTCTTTTCACATCATGATAACATTTTGATGGTATAAATTCTACACTGAACACTGTGCGATTTGATGTGAAAATTTGCATTTCTGGACATGTCCGGCCATTTTTGCAAATGGCAGGACATTGTGTCTGAGCACATTTTAATCCTTAGCGCATGCCCTGACTCCTATCCCTACCCCTCTCCCCTACTCCCATCCCTCCCTCCCCCTCTCCCCCCCCCCCCCCCCCCACCCAACCAGCCCTTGTCAGGATCAGTGGTCCCTGAAAAAGGTAACAAGAAGGTGTGTACACGTTGGTGCCTTCTGTCCGAGAATTCTAGCCATGATACAGTACACATTGATGCCTTCTGTCTGAGAACTCTAGCCATGATACAGTACACATTGATGCCTTCTGTCCGAGAACTCTAGCCATGATACAGTACACATTGATGCCTTCTGTCCGAGAACTCTAGCCATGATACAGTACACATTGGCGCCTTCTG